TGAAACTGGCCAATTGAGCGGGTTTTTCTTATTTCTTCCTTTCTATTGAAGATGGATCCTTTCCGACTTTTTCTTTAATGTGCATGCTGGTACATCCAAGGTTGAATTCCAGTTTGAATTGAAACCTTTTTAAGCTAGCCAGTCTATATTTTGACCAGACTTTTTTTTAACCACCTTATTCAAAGCAACCCTCCTTTCTATTTGAGTAAATATTTAACTATAAATTCAATCTAATTGCCATTCAAACATGTAGGCTTCTGGACCTGCTGCTAAAGTTACTGCTACTGCTGCTACTTTTTTAGCCTCAATTTCTGGCTTTTGTAGTTGTTTCCTGGCCTCTAGAGTAGCAGCTTCCTCTTAAGCTTTTTTAATTCTTTCTATATTGATAAACTGAGTATTTGAATCAACTTTTATCTTCTTTTTAGTTTTTGACTGCTGTAGGGTCTCTAGTTGATTAAAAAGTTTAAAAATTGTATGTAAACTGGCTGACAGCTTGTAGAGCATTTAACTCATCAATCATCTTACTAGCTTTGTAATGAAAAACCTGCTGCTTTCTTGTAAGAATTCTCTCCTTATTCAACTATTGCCGAGTTTTATATATATGCTTAAGATTTTAATAAGTTGTAAGTAATAGATGTTATAGTTCAGAAAATAAAAAAGTTGAAGATATTACTAGCCTTGAATTAAATTGACTCTGATTTTGAATCTGAGAGGAATCTAATTTCTTAAAAAAATTAAATAACACTAGATCAGCTGCTTTCTATCTTTTATATATATTTTAAGATTCTAAAGTCTTTAAAAGTGTTTGTTTATAAACTTGTATAAATCTTCTTTTTTTCACTAGAGCTGCATCATCCAGATAGCTAAAGTCAATGATCTCAGCTTTATAGTAGCTCTTCATGAGTGAAAAAACTTTAAGATTCAATAGCTGAAGAATATGAGATGTATAAGCAGGTAAAAACAATAAATAAATTAAATTTATATGATATTTTTATAAAAATTTGATAGTGACATGACTGTCATGATCATTTTAACACTAATAATTTATGCTGACCTTTTTTAAATATTTGAGGTAGAAAAATTGTATATAATCAGTTGAGATACATATTATTTAATATCTATTCATTATCTGATATTGTATAGATTCAATTGAGTATATTCACATTTTCAAATCAGCTAGATTGTGTATTTTGACTACAAAAAATGACTAGAGAGTCTATATAATGCTCATCAGCACTAATAGCTTCAAGAATTGAAATCTACTTGTGATTAAAGGGAGATTTAACATAAATTTTATCTTTTCTTTGCTTAGAAAGCACTCTGATATTCATACATACTTCTAAAGTAATGTCATGCTCATTCATATTTCATATATTTTCGTGACTATTCCATGAACCTGTTGTGTTTCAGAAAAGTAATTATAGAACTGCTGAAGTGTTTCCTGCTGAGTATTCTTCATTCTTTAAGACTTAATTCTTCAGTCAATCGCAGATCTTATCATAGGATTTCATTTTAGAAACTTTCTTATTCAATCCTTACTCAGCTGAGTGAAATTTCAATTCATTTATAGAATTTGAGTTGCCATTTCTCATACACACATGTAAGAGGGTGGAAATTCTTGCAAATCTTGCTCTTTTATCTATCAAACTAGAAAGATCTCTTGCTCTGAAGTCAACTTTTGTCAATGTTTATGAGCAATTGTTTGTTGAATGAAATCATTTTTTCTACTTTTCAATATGCTTCATGAGATGTTATATGCTTTAGTAGATTGAAAAACATCATTTTTTAAATCCTCTATAGCAGCAGCTATAGCAGCAGCTATAGCAGCTTCATTATTAGACTTCATTTTAATAATGTGGTTGAGAAAATGCGTAGTAAAGGTGGTGAGTTAGGTTTGGATAAGGTGGTTGAAAAAGGGTCTGGTCAAAATATAGACCAGCTAGCTTAATAAGAATCGGATGAAGGAGGTTGCTTAACAAACGGTTCTTCCAGTCTGATTCCAACCCTAACAGCGATCGTAGAGTATGGACGGTTCAGCTAACCTTATGGAGATATGAACTGTACCTATGTATGGAGTATGATCGCTTGTGGGTTCTTTAAGGGCTCAAATGAATCTACAGTCGTTCATTCCCTCTCTCTCACAGCTTTGCATCGGGATACCCATTAACAAACCCAAAATTTAATGTATATAAAGGCATGCATGCATACTCCGTACATTGCCTCGCCTCTTTAAGAATTGAAATGGGGTCTGTATTTTATATTTCCGTGCCCTCTTAATCTTAACTGCCACCTGGGCCCACCAACAATGGCTGTGCTGCCTAGTCACTCCCGTCCGCTGAACCCATTGTCACCTTGAAAATTGTGGCTTGTAGTTACGCTCCTTGGCGTTTCACGACAGATAATCTGTAACAGGGAGAGGAATGGATTACAGAGGAGACAGATGGACCGACCAAATGCAGATCGTCCGTTTGCAGATTTGTGATTTGCGAATGAATGACTTAATGATTCTTGGAGTGATTGATCGATGAGAAAGGTGGAAAAGACTTTCAAACATTAGGATTGTAGCCTTTGGATAGAACCCTTTTCATGGTGGGCTTAAATGATTGTTTGCACACAGTTCAAATTTTCAGTCTGAGATATCTTCATGTCAATATACACTCCCATTCAAGCAGCACGTACGGAAGACTTTGGTTTGGACAAAAAACCGGAGAAGGAAGAAGAGAAGCAGTTTTGGCTCTCTGTGGTGTCTGAACTATCTCTAAATGTTTTTCTGTTCCTGCATGCCAATCTGCTCTTCTGTGCTATGTCATCCATGGTTGTGGTGCTTAGAAGCCTATGCTGTTTAAAAGGATCCATTATCACAAAGTTTATGTTTTACGGTTTCCTTCGGGGTCGATGAGGGACGATGGGGGAATGAGCTGAGAAGGAAACAAAACAGTGCCAGTGAAGGTAGACCCGTTTATATCTTATTCGAAAAGAAACTGCATGTGTTGACAATGATATTGCTTGATTTTTTATACGTATAACTGCACCGTATAAATAGTCGTTTTGAAAGGTTACTCCTGGTGCCTGAAATCGGCCTATGTCAAACCATGGATTCTCCAGCAGACGCTGTATCATACCGACACTAAGAGCAGGCAGAAAGTTGTGCGAACATCATGGCTAAGGATGTGAACATGACTGATCCAGCTTGAAGGTCTAAATGAAGTCGATATCTTTTCACAGATATATTTATTATTCCCTTGCCATTATCCTAGAAACCATACGTAGGCTTTGTCAAAATCTGCAAGTCTGCGGATGTAAAATACAGTGGCTGGTTAAAGTGCAACGGCACGCAGAAACATCCGAACTTGTTTTACTCTTGTGTTTTTGGATTAATAAAATAATAAATAAAATTAAATAATAAATAATAAATAATAAAAATTGACCATGGCTTGTCAATCTCTAGACTCGAATTCTTTCAAGCAGTGCTATTTTCCACAATCCATGACTCTAAATCGGGTGAAGGGCATGTCCTTGTTTCTTCTTTTGACTGAGACATCACGGTGAAAAAGAGAAGTAAAAAAGATAGAAAAGAGAGGGGAGAGAAAATCCCCTCGGAACAAATATTTCAAGGTATCTCTTATCTCTGAGCAGGGCTTCAACTGCGCACTGACTCTGAGCATAACATTTCATTTTGAAACGGTTTCTTGACCTATCCTTATTATGAACACCAGAGTTCTGAGCATTAGAAACATGATTCCTTATTTGGCGACATTCACAAGAACAAATATCCATTCGCCAATGTAACTAGACTGGACACTCCTCGCTGAGTCTTCCCAATGAGCTTGGGGTTTTCAGATAGAGAGAAGCGCTCCTCCCCTGGTCCCTGGACCCGGTCAGGAAAATCACTGAATCAGCCCAATATCGTCTATATATGGAGGATTCACTCTCTCCAAGAGAACAAGAGAACCTTGAAAAATTCCAAGGCCTAAATTTCCGTTGGGCTCTCATGCAATTTTTCCCATTTTTCCTGCTCCCTTTTCACTTTCTTGCCCCTGGGAGCTGGGTTAGCTGAATGACAGCACCACTTGGCAAGTCTGGCACAGCGAGATATCACAGTTGGATCAAATTCTAGGCCCAAGAAAATGGTAGCATCCATTTGTTGACACTTGCTTATGATAATTTGCCCGTTGACGTGGGGGATATAATATGACGGGCATATATGGACATGGATATATATATTTACTGGCTTCCCCCTGGGCAGCTCGATTACTTGGACCACGTGACAAAACTCTATTCAGTGAAGCTAGTTAATTAGTTAGCTATGTAGTTATTTGGCTTTGCTCAAACTTTCAACGTAGCGGTGCGAAATCCGGTCTAATGTCAATTTGCATATTATATGATTGCCGAATGGATGACATTCAAGCTGTTTTTATTTTAACTAGTTATGTTGCTCAATAAACTAGACTAATCACATAATCAAATTGTCCCTAGGATGCGGTGAACATTTAGCACCCCTTAAAATGTGGCGCAAGTCACTGTCTGTCCAAAGAAGGGCAGATAAAATGGATACGGAGTAGGCAGTAATAAATGATACGGCAGTAGGGAACAAGCTGTATATTTCGTGGTTAAGAATTCAGAATTTATTCAAACCAATACGCTCTGTTATCATCTTATATACACGGAGAAACACAGAGTACAACGTCTGGCAGCGAGCAGTTTCCATGGTTCACAGGACGGCAGACCAGACTTTGACTGGCTCTGTTCCAAGGATCCATGGATCTGTACCTGAACACAAAAAGGTTGCCCGACGGATTCCAATACCGTACAGTTAGTTATAACTAACTATACTTTTTAATTATTAAGTGCCCCCTCTCCCAAGTTTTTGGTCTGTACAGTACATGCATTACAGCGCAGTACATGTAATTGTGTCTATTTGACCGGGGATCAAGGGCGAAATAATGAAAATATAACTATCCAGAATGTTCTTCGTAATAATAATAAAATAATAATAATGGTCAACCCTTGGCTCCAAGTGTTTTCTGGGGGCGGGCTACCCTAACCCCGATAAGCACTTGATCAGCGGAGACACTGGGGTCCTGCGACGGGCTCGGCGGAGTGGTGCCGTCAGAATCTCCCAAGGCTCCAATAATGAACCATTGCTGACCATCGCTGACACTGGGCTGCCAATCACTGCCTTGTTGCGGATTACTTCGTGTATGATTTAGCTGTGTTCTTGAAATAAATCCATGTTCTTCTTTAGCAGCAGAATGGATATACGCTTACACGCCCATACGCACCTTACCCACGCTAGAGTTGGTGACTTGTGCCCAGGGAGGTTGGCCCGTATTCGTATTCTGCGTGTATTGATACTCTGGCCAAAAAGTGCTGTAGACCGCCCCCCAGTCCACTGTTTTGGACGTATTTTTTTCTGTTCCGTATTGGAACTGCTCAATGCGCTCCTTCGCTTCCTCTGTTCCCGTCACTCATCTCAAGTCTCAACCTCAATCCAATTCATCTCCACACTTATTCCTCTTCTCCTCCACTCCTCTCACAACCTTGCCTATTCTCTCTTCTCCTCCTTCTTCTCCTTCTCCTCCTCCTCTTCTCTTCTCGTCATCCATCCTCCACGTCGACTCTCGACGGTCCTGTCGTTGATCTTTCACTCCCTTTCTCATCTCCCTGCTCGCTTTATCCCATCTCACCTTGTGCGATTTAACTAACTGAAAGAAAACCTACCGCAAGCCCTTTCTCCCCTTTTTCAATCCCCAACACCAAGGACTTCTTCTTTGGGTGCCGCTCGTTTCACCCGTCTATATATTATATTAATATTGTGCGTGTCCCTTTTTCAACACCCGCGCACCCTCTCCCTTCCAACGGATTCTGGCTGAGTCGGATTCCCCCACGTTCTCTATTCCATCTAAAATCTTCCCCTGGACGAATCATAGAAAGAGGGGGGGGGCAATCAAGCGTACCAGTTCGAGCGTCGGATACGTCTGCCTTTTAGCTTGGGAGAAACAATACATGTGCAAAAGGAGAATCGAGAACAAGGACGAGGAGACACGTTACGGAACGACTGGTTCGCTACTTGCCAAATACAATACTCAACGTCCGGTTCTCGAGGGTCTCTCCTATTAATATATAACGGGGAACCAAAACATACCTGCAATTGGACACAAAGGACCTGCGACGTTGGTCTTCTGTCTCTCTTGCTGTGGTCGGAACAATTCACAAAGACATTTCGCCGTCTCGCTCTGATAAATTTCTATACTCTTGATCGCATTCTGTCGTCAAATACCAAAAAATAATCTCCCAAAATTACCTATTTCCATTGCTTGACTTAATGGAGATACGACAATCTAGGCAATAAAGGGAATTATCAAGCTGAATGCAGAAAAAAGAACACAATTCACTTCATCTGATTTTGCGCCCAGTTACTTTGTGTTGAATTCACTAAGACACATTCACACTCACAGTCGCAGTTATTGAGTGAGGCAGTAGTTTGATACTCTACTACCTAACTTCATTGGAATCCCATTTAGAGTTGTAGTTTAAGACCCTCTTTTACATCTGGGATTTTTGTCCCTTTCCACTCCTTTGAAAAGGTATGCGGTTTCATCCATCCCCCAATGACTACATCATCCAGTCATGATATCACCTGTTTCTCGATCAATCTCATCATGTCCTATCTCATTTATTCGACCATGTTACCTTTATCATGATTTTTATTTTGCCATTTTTCATCATGAAGATGATGCTGCATATACTAATTCCTGACAGATCAATATCATTTAACAATTTTTTTGGTCACCTATATTCGTTTTTATTCCTCCATATTCTAACGGTGAGGCCGCTATCTCAAACATCATATCGTGGGCTGCCTGTTTCAAAATCTAATATGCGGTCGCAGGATTGACGATTACGAAATCCAATTAAAGGACAGCCCAAACCTAACCATTAAACATGCGGGCCAACAGATACTCTATCTTGGCTGCTTTGCTGGCCCTGGGTGCCTTGGACGCTCCTCTAAGTCACGCTCGAGGAGCGGGAGATTCTCCAGCGCGGCCACGATATTACTTCCCGCGGGAAATAAAGCGCGGCTCTGCCGTTCCAGCACCCGTGGATAAACGTGCTCCACAATTAAATGACCAGGACACCACCGTTGTGGTCATACCCGTCACTGTCTACGTAGGTCCTGATGGCAAACCTTTTACGATAGGAGGCCAGGCCGCTGGGGGAACAGGTGTCACCCCGTCGAGTACTACCTCTTCAAGTACGCCCCTTTCAAGCGACCCCGCTTCAAACTACTCCCCTTCGAACGACACCCTTTCAAATACCAGGCCGTCAAATTCCTACGACGGACAGGCTCACCGAATCACTGCCGCCAGCGAACCCAACAGTTCGTCTGCCACAAAGCCAATGGGCAATCTCAGTCTTGGTCTGCCGAATCTATTTAGCACGCCCTCTGCCTCAGAATCCGAATCAGAGACCGTTTCCTCCAACAGTGCTTCATCCATTTTTGGAGGAACAGGTTCCACTGCTCCAACCGTGAGCCCATCCTCTTCGTCGAGCTATGAAGATGTATCATCATCCAGTACTTTCCCCACACTCGAGCTTCCAACCCTGCAACTTCCGACTGATGGTACTTCCACTTCAGGCGTTCCTGGTGGCACTGGAACTTTTACTCGTGAAGAACCTACTACGACATCACAGGGACCAATTATTACTCTTCCTACCATTATTCCAGACCCAAGCCCGTCGAACTCTGAAACATCTTCATCTACCCATTCACCCTCCAGAACCACAAGTCCGGACGTGACAGATATAACACCACTTCCAACATCCGAGTTGCCCACCGTAGTGCCTCCGTCAACTACCAGTGAATCGCCCACGGAATCACCCACGGAATCACCCACGGAATCACCCACGGAATCACCCACGGGATCACCCACGAAATCACCCACGGAATCACCCACGAACTCACCCACGGAATCGCCCACAAAATTGCCCAGTAGCTCCCCAAGTATCCCTCCTACCGGCAGAGTTACCCTCACTCCGATCCCCCCTGTGACCAACAGCAGCACTACCTCAACGACTAGTTCCATTCCATCTGGTATCTTTCCTAGTTCGACAGTCGTCCCCACCGGTACGAACCCCACCGGAACGTACCCAAGCCCTTCTAGAACTGGAATATCTTTGACACCGTCTCCAACCCCAAGTTCACCAGCACCAACCCAGACGGAGACCACGCCACTCTCGACAGATTCGTTAACTTCTATGTACATCCCGACAAGCATTGTCTACCAGCCTACTCCTGTCCCGCCAAACACATCGCAAGCCAACAAACCCACAGCCATTCCCCGTATCATATCTCCCGATGGTGGCATTCCTCAAGCACCAGCTGACTCGAGGCTGGTACAAATCGGATTCAACGGCTCGCTCCCCTATGAGTTCGCTGTCAAGAACAGGGATTCAATAATTCAAATTTTCAGCTACACTCCAATCGGCGTCTCATATGGTCTGCAGATTTCCCGCAGTCTCACCGTCATGCGATCCATCGAGCCATACGACACAGTTCAAAAGAACACCTACACTACCACTTTGGCTCTTATCTACATCCCAGAGAACCTCGTGACAGAACTTTCCGTCTCATTGCACAACCCTTTTTCGCTCATCTACAAGCACCCTAACCCTTCCGTTGCCCAGCTCATGTCCCTGATCGATCCGTCCATCCCCCTGATTCCCGGCGGCGGCCCCCTCGGCCAGGAAACCGGAGGACCCGGTGGTGGCCTCACCGGTCGCCCGGGTGGTGGCAATGATGACGGAAACGAGGGCGGCTCAGGAGGGAATGAAAGTCCCGGCGGCTCAGGCAGCTCATCCAATGTGCGCGCAACCTCGGTTGGCATTGGTCTCGGTGTTGTCGGCGGTGCAGCCCTCTATGGTGCAGCGATGTTCTTCGTCGCACGCCGCTACCGCAAGAAGCGCAAGATGCACCGTCGCACCGGCTCTCTGACGAGCGGGATTGGAAATAATAATACGCCCGAACCCTGGCCGATCACATCAGACACGCTGATGACCGGTGGTCGCGGGGACGGAAATGTCAGCTCCATTCAGCATGATGCGCGAAACAGCCATAATAGTGGTGGATCAGGGAGTGGGAAGACGCAGATGATCAGTGCCCCTGTGATGGCTGAGAATTCACTGGGATGGAACTAAGAAATGGTAAAATTTCTATCCTTGGTGTTCAATTCAACGCTATCATCTATGGCAAGAGGTCCAAGGCCGGGCTGTACGAGACACGTGACGAGAAGTATCGACTGCTATCTTCGTCTCATGCTTGGTTCGAAAAAAAATGGAGACTGAGTGGAACAAAGGCTACACATCCGTTTTTTGCTTTTGCCTTTCTTTTATCCCTCTTGGTTTTTTTTTTTTTTTTTTTTTTTTTTTTTTTTTTTTTTTAAACCTTGATTTCTCGACCTATCACTGGTTTCCAACTGTGCTTGTCTCGGCATCCACCTGTGCATACTTATACGATATAGACACTCGATATGCCATCCCATATGGGTTGTCATGTGACTCCAATGGCTCTCAAGATAAGACATGTGTATAAATGTACAAGCCGCCGATTTTTACTTTTATTCCTTTATCTTGTTTTATTTATCCTTTGCCTTTTATTCTTTGTTTCTTGATTCCCCCCATTCCTTTGTGTTGTTCTTGACTTCTCCATCTTGACTCTAATGGTCCTTTTTTTTTTCTTTTCCTTCGTACTCCTCCATTGTTATTATTACGACTCTATGTACAGAGCTATTTTGTACAGAGCTATTTCCCCTCGCCCCCTATTATGCTATCTTTTATTTTCTTACTTTATCAAATAGTGTCTTCCTTCTTGACCCCCGTAGCGACGCCCACGCTTCCAAGGCCACAGTCACCAGCCAATACCTCTCTCTATCTTACCTCGCGCGCGATATATATAGCTATATGCAATCTATTGATAGAGTCTTGTGTTGCATTGCATTGAATTTTGCCGAGATGAATAGAGTGTGACACGATTATTTAACATTTTTATAAAGGTCTTAACGTAATCCACATACGAGTGAACACCCCAAATGAGCGAACACTCAAATCACCGTACCTCACCTAGCTAGATTTTAATTTAAATTATCTACGTTAACCAATCCCTAATTAAATTAAATTAAATTACACTAGGTTCAGGGCACCTGATTCTTTAGTGTGGCAAAGGCTCAGAGCGTGGAGGCTCAGGAGGTTGAATGACAGGTCATTCAGCAGGTTCAGTGGGTGAAATAATAAGATCCTGAGCTTCTCTTCTATTTAGACCCCCTGCGCATTGAGTGCTGTGAGTAGACCTCTTGTGTTTTTGCTTCTATTTCTCATTTGAAGCAAATAGACCCGATATTACTTCTTCATTATTGATGTTGTATTATTTCATGCTCACAGACTTTAATAATTTGATTTAAATCTTTCACTAGGCTCTGAGGAGGACTTTCAAGTCACTGTCTCATCAGATTCTTGATTTTATTCATCTGCTCATGCAATTCCTGCGGTTATGAGATGTTTAAAATATTTCTAATAATATAGAGTTGTTAGATCTGCTGACTGGAGAGGTAAAAGTTCTGCGCTAATCGTGCTGCTGCGCAACCCACACCTCATGTGAATGCGCCACATCAAAATGATGAAAACTCCAAAATGATAAAATCTTGAATCACATCCTCATTATTGCACTCTATATCAACAACCAGTAGCTAATCTATAATAACAAGATTATCTACATCATTCTCAGTATGTGTGTCATCTCTAAATTGATTTAATTCCTCTTCTGTCAGTGATATAAGTGAGTTATTATTAATTTTCATAAGATCAATTTTATATATCTGTTACTTCTTATTCTGCTTTTTTTCAGCTTTATTATTCTTACATCACTTGATTTTTTTATTAATATCTTTAATAGTGAGGACTTTCTCTATTTGAATTTGATGACAAATTGTTTTAACTCTATGGTATTTACTGACATTGAGAAAATTTTTTAATTCAGTAATTTATTGCTCATTAAGTTTTATATAAATTAGACTTACTTTGAATATCTTGTTCAAATGATATATTAAGATAAGTGATTTTAATTTAAGAGTATTTTTAATACTTTGTATGATATTTTCTACAATATTAATATAATATTTTAGCTTTTAAATTGTCTTTAATGAGAATAGCTAAGAAGAAGAGATAGATATATAATTTGAACTATTTTCATCTTTATAAATCTACAATGAAGAAGATAATGAGATTTACTGCTTAAGAGTATTAAGAACTTGATCAGATTTTTATGAATATATATTATATTAAGATTATTCTGCAGTTATTATATCAAATTTAAAGATCTGCTTTTGCATAGCTAAGAGATATTATAGAAACTGTTGTTTTTCATACTTAACAAGATTATAACATGTATTGTAGTTGACTATTTTTAAATAATAATACTTATATTACTGAAATAATATACTATTCAAAGATTATAGTAAATAAGTGATATATAATGAAAATTTATATAGAATTATCTTATAGAAATCTATATATTATATAAACTTTTCAGTAATATGAGATTTATAATTATTTATTGAAAGTAATCAATAACTTCTCTTTTGTCTCTTTTCTGTAGCAGTATTAAAATATTTAAATTATTCAAATTTAATTTCATTATTTGTAAATTCAGTATCTAATATAATAATTTTATAATTACTTAGTAAATCTGTCTGTGTATATCAATTCTTCAAATGTGTTTTAAAGGCTAAAATTATCAATAATGAAATAATACAAATATTCATGAATATATATTCAATAACTGTAATTAAATCTCTTAAAAATAATAAAGAAATGAAGAAATTAACTTCTTTAAAGGTAGTTATAACTCATTTTTCATGTTTTTATTCTTCTTGAAATTTAATCTCATTGAAGTTGTATATATCACAGATGTGAAATTGATACTACTCAAATAAAATCTAAAGATATTTAAATTATATATTGATATATTCAATATCTTTAACTATTATTCTTTTTGAATTTATTGACTTCTGTTTTATTTTCTTATACTCAGATAGATATTTAATGAATCTATAAGTTTACATCTTGCTGACTTTTAAAGAAGATATAGTAGAATTTATATGCTGATATCTGAGTATTGAATTTATAAAATCTTCAATATATTCAATTATAAGAGAATAATTCTTTTTATCAAGCAGCTTGACTCATTATTTAATTATATTTTTCTAACTCTCATTTAATCTCTTGTTAACTAAAATCTTTATAGTATTTAAATTTCTTTCATTGATATATACTCAGAGACATTGATGATAAATCTCAAATTCTTATGACAGAGACAGTAATTTGAAATTTGAATTTTTTTGATGATAAGTAACAGCTTTTTAAATATAGTCTTCAATATTTTTATCTTTATTTGACATTGTGGTGAGTTATTAATTGATGAAGATGATGAAGATGATGAAATTGCAACATTTTTATCATTTTAATGTTTTTATTGTTTTGGTGTGGCACACTCATTCAAGGTATGAGTTGCGCGGCACGATTAAATATTAAGCTACTGAAGAACTCAATTTGAGTCAAATAAGACTATTTCAGGTATTATAAAGCTGCTTTATGTCGGACACTTCAGTCGCGTGACATGCTTTCCACCGTATATAGTCATTCTTGTAGCGTGCAAACTCTGCAATCAATCAAGCTTGCCCACTTTGTATTATATGTTCTGAATTTTAAATATATTATATATACTGTAAAATAGATTGTTACGGCGCAGCTGCTTGTATATGGATTGAGATTGATCCGTTCTGATCCCCAACCATCTCTGCTCCAAAGGTTGATCCGATCCGATCCCCAGCCATCTCTATATATTCGGCTGCTCATTCATTTCATATTCTAATCCCCAGTTTAGTATTCTCGTCGCAGCTGCCTAGTTAGATAGATAATAAAGCTGTTGTCTTGTTATCATTCTGACTCTAGTTGAGCCATGACAGTACTAAGCATTTCATGCAGTCACAATTATTAAAAAGCTCATTCAAACATAGACATGAATATGAATATGAGTTTTGAGTATTCAGCACAATCACTATCACTAAGAAGCTCATATAGACATGAACATAGACATAGAATTCTGAGCATTCAGCACAGTTACAATCACTAAGAAGCTCACTACGGCAGCCTATAGTGATATTTGAGTCAAATAGATTTTTTTATATTTTTCCACTATAATTACTTAATTCCACTTATAGACACTCACCAATAGAAATTTATATGAAAATTTATCTGTTGCAGAAACATCTCATTTCATTCTGATTAAGTTAAAAAAAAAAATAAATTAAAAAAATTAGAAAATAATCATTTTCATAGATATTATCAAAAAATCAAAATGAAAAATCAAAAAGTGAAAGAAAGTGAATAAAAGATGAAAACAACAAGAAACTACTAATAATCATTTTCACATCCTGGAATGTGACTGTCTGTCATGATTTGTCACAGCCTCTGCACCAATTTCATATCCCTATCCTGAATGGTAACATGTTTGGCATGGATGACACATAGATTTGTCACTAACATCTCAATTGATTAGTATAATGATTAGTAGATTAGCTTGTAAAATCTAGTCATTTTTTACTTGTGAATTCATCAATCAAAACTGCCTCTGCAGCCTCCTGCAAAGCCAGAATTGCAGATGCTTGAAATCAAAGATCACCATATATATCTGCTGCAATTTCATAGACAAGATGCTGGAATGAGAGCTTGTAAATAAGAAGCTTAACATCACACTAATAACAGCAGATTTCACAGAGAGCAGTGACTAAAATAATTAAATTAGATATTCAAATTCAAAAAATCTATGAATATACTTTTACTTACTATCAGCTTTTTGATGATAGTGATGTTGAGATTTCACATGAGTCACATACTGTTCTGGAGAATGCTTTCCCTTCTTTCTTGCCTTGCTAACTATATTTTTTTTGCCCCTCTCTGTTGAACGCGTTTTCTTGCAGTCATTTTGATACAGAAGATAATTTAAAAAAATTCTGCAGAGGAGAGGGAAGAGAAAGAGGTGCATAGAATGAGATGAATGAGAAGATTAAAAGATTGAGAAAGAAAAAGAGCAAAGAGATAAGATCTTTGAAGTGAGTGTGCAGTTATATATGTGATTATGTGCA